CAAAATTATTAAAAAATAATAATTTAGTCCAAAAAGGCTTGAAAATTGAATGAGAAATGTTACATTATCTTTAGGAATCTACATTAACAAAACCAACAATTCAATGAACTTGTCCTCGCATGATTAAAGCATAGTTTTAAATTGAATATTGTAATGAAATAACCTAATCTGATCATCTATACCTCAACCAACTCTATGATGGAATCGTGGGCTTAAATTGCAATCTATCAATTTTGGAGGGAGCAAAAGGAGATTTTACCATTTATTTATCTTCAAAACATAAGAGATTAAAAAGAAATTTTATCATTTAAGGTGATTATATAAAATTTATAAATATAATGCATAAACTATTCAAAGTATGTTATAATATTAATTATATCAATCGAATTAAAACATGATCGATAAAACTGTTTATAAGACCTAATCGAATTAAATATGAATTATTTTAGAATAAGATAACATATAAAATGAAAGAAGTACTGGATGAGCTTAATCCCCTCCTAGACCTAATCCTACTTAGGAAGTTTGGTATATCTAATACATTAAATATTTTCTTTTTGTTGCCATCCCGATTTTAAGGCTTTGCCTTAACTAATCCGGACTGACCTGGGTCACATACCTAGTTTTGGTGGGTAAGTCTCCCAACAGGGTTTTTCTGCATACACAAAGACTCGAACTCGAGACTTTCAAGCTGCTTACCACTTGAATCAAATCAATTTATGCATATTTTTCCTTTGAATTTGGATAATTTTTATGAAAAATTGATTTTAAAAGAATATTGAAATTTGGGACATATTCTTTTAAAAATAATTCAATGTGGTCCTCTATTTCCTGTGAACCTTATTCCATCAAGCGACATCCTTCACTTTAATCATCTTTAATGTCTCTGAAACCAAGCTTGAAAAGAAAGGCTGGCACTGTTCTAGCATGCTATTTTCTTTTTAAAAAAATAAAGTTATTTTAATAATATTAATAATAACAATAATAATTCGAATGTACGTTTATATTTCACATATTGTCAATAATGTAAAAATAATTATAACAATACAATATAATTATTAAAAGTAAATTCACATATAAATTACTATAACATCAAAATTACAAGAGATTTGCAACTACAAGGTTTCTTTTAACTTATTAAGAATAATTAATAAACTTAATCTCTATTATTTATTTATAGGGTTAATTGCTTGCTGAAAAAGAAATATTAGATCACAAAGAGTTCTTTTAAAGTGAATTATTACTTTTTAATTAAAAATGGTATAATAATGTATATGAATTTTATTTTTCTCTTATATTTTCACCAAATAGATTACATTATAAATTTTTAATCCAAATCAGATGAAATTCGATTATAAATTTTAGGATAAATTACTTGTTTAGTATTTAAACTATCAGTTTCGGTCCATTTTAGTACCTAAACTTTCATTTTTTTTAAAATCATACCTAAAGTTTAGTTTTCGTTTCATTTTAGTACCTCATTCAAAATTTAACGTTAAGTTTTGAAAAAGATGAAGTGTAAGGTCTAAAACGGACCAAAACTGATAGTTTAGGTACTAAACACATTAAGTTTTTAACAACAATTACTAAAATGAAACAAAAACTAAACTTTAGGTATGATTTTGGGGAAAATTTGATAGTTTAGGTACTAAGACATACCAAAATTGATAGTTTAGGTACTAAGACATACCAAAATTGATAGTTTAGGTACTAAAACAGACAAAAACTGATAGTTTATGTATTAAATGTGTAATTTTTTCCAAATTTTAAGAACAATTAAAATAACAATTCCCATGTCAACTATTGGAATAGAATATAACAATGATGATGATGATGATGTGTTTCTGGGTGTTGTATTATATCCCCCAATCATATTAATGGATATAATGTAAGCAAACAAACAACAAATGGTGTTAACCGGTCAATTTCTAATGTCACCATCGATTGCATGCCATCCAAAGAATGTGCATGTATGTGATTTGCTAAGTTTGGCTATTATTACATTTTTAATACAATAATCTAATTCTAGGGTGAACGAAATGGTCCCCCAACAATTACAGCACATACATACAAACCCTTCTTTATTCACTTACGTACAAAAAGTCAATTCCAACACAACAAAACAATTTATGTATGATGCCATTTACAGGTATTCATACCAATTTTGTTTTCTTCTTATCTAATTTCGGCCGACTCAAACTCGAATATTTAAGATCGACATTTTTATTCGAGCTGCAGATGATGAAAAATAATTTTTCATGTGAATGATGATACTTTTTTTTTTCTTCAAATAGGGTAGTCTTTATAGTGTTTTAAGAAAACGCTAGGACATTCGACGTCTTCAACAAAAGATACATGGAAGACCCGACATCTTCTCCAAATAAGCAAGCAGGAAGATGTCGTATTTTCTTCGCGTTCTCAAAGCACTGCAACATTCACTCTATTTGGAAGAATAAAATTTAGACTACACAAAATGAAAAAATATCATTTTTTTTTCAATGTCCTATCCAATAGGGGTAAGCAAAATTCAGCTCGAAAAATCAATCTTTTCGACTCGTCTGGAAAAAAACGATATTGATGACTTGTCATGTCACGTCATCAATTAAACACATGTCACGTTAGTAATATGTATTGATCGTTAATCAACTAATGATTTCCTTTCAACACGTAATATTTTGAAGAAAAAAAATTAAAACATTATGACTAGAATATTATAAGAAAATGAATAAAGGTCAAAGTAACCGTTCGTGTAAACATCGAGGGTCAAATTAGTATAACTTGATCTTTTGATAAAATTGTGATGTTGTGTTTAGGCTTGTAAACGAACCGAACACACACGAACGAATGTATGTTCATGTTCGTTCATTTAATAAATAAACGAACATAAAGAACACGAACATAAACAATTTTTCTTGTTCATGTTCGTTCATTAAGGAATATAGCTTGTTCATGTTCGTTCATTTAAATAATAAACGAACATAAATGAACACGAACGAACGAACATAAACGAACAACACAAACACAAAAAAAACTTATTCGAACACAACAAACGAATGTAAAAAAAAAGTAAACAACAAGAATAACAACTTAAAATTCATTAATATAATCTGCAACTTTAGAGTTAATTTGTTCGAATACGACAAAAACATACATAAATCACATACATAAATCATAAATAAGCTATATGAACATAATAAAGTCTTAAAGTTAATTTGTTCAACGAAACAATCTTCTTGAAATCCAAACAACTTCAATAATATTCGTAACATATTCAACTTGCCCTCTGTTGGAACATAAATGAACGAACATAAATGAACGAACATAGACGAACATATAATCGAATGTTCACGAACGTAAATGAACGAACGAACCATTTGTTAATGTTCGTTCATTTAATTAAACGAATGCAAAATCTTATCCGTGTTCGTTCATTTAATAAATAAATGAACATAAACGAACTTTCCGCCGCACAATTCATGAACGGTTCGCTGAACGTTCAGTTCATTTACAACCTAGTTGTGTTGAATAAATTTGTAATTGGACGGCGGCAAGGAAGGGGATTTCTTCCCTCTTAATATAAATTCGAATTCAAAAGCCGAAGAAAGGAGATTATGATTAGCCTCACAAATACATTTCATAATGGTGTTGTTGATTGAGTCAAAAACAAGAAACAAAAGGGCCCCTCCATTTTTCATAATTTATCTCCATGGCCCCTATTATTACTTTATGTGGGGATGCTTATCCAAATTTTATTCAAATTCACCATATTTTTAAAATCCAATAAATTTCTTATTCGTGTCGAATTCGAATATTATTATCGTCCGGATATTAGTCATGACGACATTGTTTAAACTAATTAGTTTCTTAATTATTATAACGAATTCAAGATTTTATTTTCGGATGAAGGCATAAATTAGAAGTTATGGACGGTAATAGACACATCAAATAACTTCAATAATAAAAGAAAATATTTTTCTTCTTCAAAGATTATGAGTCCAAACAGTTATATTTATAGCACGTGCGAGTTGTTTTTTCCATTACCAGAATAAAAGAAGATGAAAAAGCTGCAATAGAGGATAAATTGCTGTTGGTTTTGATGATGTTTCAACGTGGAACAAAACTGCATCGCAAGTATCAATAACCATATGCTGATTGACCTTTTTATTATTATTTTCTTAAATATTATATGTAACTTTTAACATTGTATTTATATAGTTGTGTTGAGGAGTATTTATAATGATTTTTAGTGTATGTATTAGTTACAATTGAACCTTGGATTTCGTTTTGATAAATTATGTAAGTCTGTTAGATATCTTATCCTGAGGTCTTGTCCATAAATAATAATTGGACAAGAATCTTTGATTAAGGAGTCGATTCTTTAGAGGTTCTATCTTGGTAAATATAGAGTTTGTTTAGGATATTTGATTGATGAAGAGACAATGATACCGATAATTTTTAAAAATCGTCTCTAAAGATATAATATTATATGTTGGCAAAAGGGTATACGAGTTCTCTATACTTTTTTTAAAAAATAACGTGGCTCATGTACTTTTTTCTTCTTCTATAAATGTGATCATTCAACTCAAAAAAAGAATCCAATGTGACCATTTGACTAATATTTTTCTTCATTGACCAACGATTCCGTTAATTTCTATTGGCGTGGATGCTTTCTCAAATATATTGTCAAATAAATACTGTTTGTGGCGGTTGGTAGATACAGAAATAATCAATTTTCGGCTGTATAGGCGGTTGTTGAAGAGAAATGATAGTTTTTTTTTTCTTTTTGTAGAAACTTATAATTAATTTAAGGTATCATATTAATAAAGGATTTACACTATTGTTAGTTATTGACCGAAAACGATGCTACAACAGGTTTGGGTACCCTTTTGTCATGTATATTTAAACGAAATAATGATGATGAGGTCAATATGAGTATACCCTATTCCTAACCATATATTATTCCAACTATTGTCTTTGGCCAACAACAATACAACATTCCTATGGTAAGCAGCCTAAGCTCCTCTCTTTTTTTTCTCCTTTTTCACTTTCGCTTTTTTCTCCATCTTATATCCCTCTCTACGCCTCTAAAAGTTTCTTCCACAGTGCCTTTTGCAGGTCTATAATGCCTGCCCGTAGCAGTTTTTCTTCATAAAAAATCAAGGGTCGGTGCCAGATTAAACCCTTTTTTTTCTGTCTGATTCCTATCTTTTTCGTTGTCAAAAGATGCCATCACCACCAAAACCACCCATGTTTTCTCCCTCATTATTACTCTCATTGTCTATATCTCCGATTTTGCTGCGTTTTTACCTTATAGCTTTCCGCTTTGTTTCCTAGAGTTTTCAAGAGAGTTTATAGAAAGTTCTGTTCTTTGGCTGCCATTAGTGGAAACAAGTGAGAATTTGATTGTTTCAAGGTGGTTTTTTTTCCCTACTGAAAATGAAAAAGATTAGCTTTTATGAGTGTTGGAATCATGCATATGCACGCCTTCGAGGAATGTCGTGGGCTGGATTTTGATTGTCTGTTTGCTGATTGAAGAGTTGTGTGAAGGGTGTCATCGATTTGCAGTATTGAATCCAAATTGATCTCCTCTTTCGACCGACGATCCAAGGGAAAACAAGTATTTTGAGGTGCTGATTTCTTACTTGCGGAAGCAAAAGGGACATATTTTGGTGCCTTGGCAATGGAGTCCAAAGCAACATTCGGGTTTGGACCTTGTTGTTAACGCAGCTTGAGATTAAAAAAAAGGACACGTTGAAATTGGAATATTTTTTGTGTGTTTTTCAACCAACAAAAAACCAGCTACATTGTGACTGATCCTCTCTTCTTGTTCTTGGTGGTATCGAATTTTGTGGCACTCTTTTCTTTCAGGTAACTCGCATTTCTTCACCGGCTTTCTAATTTTATTGTAATTTAAAGGGAATGGGGTAATCAATAGGAAAAAATAATGAGTTTTTAATAAATAAACAAAATTAGAGTTTGTATGATAATACAGGACTATGATTTAGGTGCTGCATGAGGGAGATGAGAGTTAGTATGTTATGGATATAGCTATGTATCTAACACGAATATCTTCGATTTTCCTTCATAAGATGTTCAATTAGAATATATATATATATATATCCAGTACTATGATTTAGGTGCTGCATGAGGGAGATGACAGCTATTATGTTATGTATCTAACATGAATATCTTTGATTTTTCTTTCTAAGATGTACGATGTCGGATACCGGTGCCAGACCAGCCGGTTGATCTGTAAACTTAGTTTGTATTCAGTATTATGCTGAGAATGATAAATTTGTCTGCAATTACATGGATTCTGACATAGTTTATTCATACAGCTGGTATCAACATATCAATGGCTTTTCTTTTTCTTCACTTCATCTAGTAGCTCAGTTGATTGGAGTATTGAATTTGAGTGTCTAATAGATTAATAATGGCATGTGAATGACCATGAGAATGTTCAAATTAGGGAGTGATCTCCTCATGCCCTCAGGTACGAAAGGATTGAACACGGATACTTAAGAGAAACGAACCATCGGAGAAACATAGGCGGCCCTTTGAGTTTTAGGATGAAGATGTTCCTTGTCTTCTTTGTTTTTTCTAACCTTTATAATTGCTGATTTTATCTGTTTATCAGATTCTAGGGTCACCTTTCAACGAAAATTATCTATCATCAAATCGTTATAATCTCATTAGAAAACCACATTTATCATGGCCAAAAGATCGAATAGACGTGCTGTGCGGAATGAAAAAGAGCAGTTGGGCTGTATGTGGGGCTTGATTAGTATGTTTGACTTCCGCCTTGGGAGATCGACTCAGAGACTTCTTTCCGATATAAGGCGTGGGAACAAGTATGCAGGTGGTAAGTTTTGTATTTTCAAAGCTATTGTAGTTAATCTTTTCGATTTCTTGCATGCAGGTTGAACTCGGTTTGTAGTTGCAAAGCTGAATGGTCTTTTTGATTGGCCTTATAGCTTAGATATCATTAGTCTTGTTTGTTCCTTGTACTTAGAAGCTTGTTCTGCTCTTCCGGTCCGTATTGTTCTAAGTATGCTTCCATTGCTGTATTTTCTCTTTAACTTTGCAGGTGTGGGAAATTCGGGAAATAAACTTGACAGTTCTGGTGACAAGTGTTTGAGAACTCATGTAAGCTTCGGAAACTCGACCCGTTTCCATCATAATTTTTAAAATATTGATATGTATGTATTCATTAGAAGGGTAGAATCGGAGTATGCTTTTCATTTGTTGTTGATATTAATATATACACACAAACATTTACAGGGTGGTGAAGAGAAAACAAAAGCTATGGATGCATGTAAGTCGAATGTGAAGAAACTCATTGAAGAAGAAATGTTGGTAAAGCAAGCTGCGAGAAAGGAGTTAAATAATTCTTCCGCTGAAGCAAAGCAGTTCGACTCGGTGCAAGGAGACAATGGGAGGAAGAACCGAAAAAGAAAAAACAAAACTCGAAAGAGAAGTTCCGGGAACAGCCTTGATATGGATGCTGCTGAGAACCTGTTATCTGGAGTATCATGTCAGGATAAATCCGAGCAACAACAAACTACAAGCAATCTTGACATGGATGGTCTAATGAAAGAGTTTTGTCGGCAAATCCATCGGAAAAGAATGAATTGTGTGAATCATGACCAGCTTGCTGAAGCTAATATGCAGTCAAACCCGAAGAGTTCTGATTTAGAAGATAGGTTAAGTGAGGCACTCAAGTTCTTAGTGAGTCAGAAGGTTGTCGACAGGAATCTACTTACCGAAAATGGGGAATTCCAAGCCTCAAAAGAAGTCATGGATGCACTTCGAATTTTGAGTTTAGATGAGGAGTTGTTTTTGAAGCTTTTACGAAATCCGAACTCAATGCTGGTGAAATATGTTAAAAACATGCAGGATTTTCAGTTAAAGGATGAAGAGTCTAAGCCTCTCACTCCATCCAACTTTTCCGAGAATGAACCTGTTCGTTTAAGACAATCAAATGAGCCTGTTAATAGAAAACAGCGTAATTTCTTTAGAAGAAAGTCGAAGTCTCAAGAAAGATGCATGTCAGATGAAAAAATGGTTTCTGAAGCTTCGAGTAAAATAGTAATTTTGAAGCCTGGGCCGATGACTCCTGAAACTGGAAGCAGCTTCAGCTCATCACCAGATTCTCAGTACACGGTAAGACATAGAGAACCTAATGAGAAAGTCGGTTCCCACTTTCTTCTTGCAGAAATCAAGAGAAAGTGGAAACATGCTATGGGAAGGGAGCAACAAAGAATCCCCACCGATCGTATATCCGCAAGACTTCCGGGCAAGCAACAAAATTCGGTGAGCAACGGAGGAGTTAAGGAATATATCGGGATGAGTTCTCCAACTAAAGACCACTTTTTTATTGAAAGAATGTCGAGGTCATCTATCGGTGTCAAAAAAGGAGAAAAGACGAGCAAACTAAAAGACTCTGAACTTGGTACAGAATATGAGACTACCAACTTTTCCCGGCATTCAAACATCTATATCGAGGCAAAGAAACATCTATCTGAGATGATAACCAATGGGGAGGAGAATGTGGATCTTTCATGCCGAAGGGTTTCAAAATCCTTAGGTAGGATTCTTTCTCTCCCGGAGTATAACTCTTCCCCTTTTGGCAGCCCCGGGAGGAACTCGGAGTCTAGATTTATAACTGCACAGATGAGGTTTTTGGGCTCTGACAAATTGCAGAGTGTGAATGAAAATGATCGATACAACTATGTCAGCCATCTAAGTCAAGTAGCAGAGGAACCTGAGAGCCAGCTTGGCGTTTCGGATAACAAAACCAGCGATGAAGTCCTAGGTGACAATGCAATTTCAAATAACATCGACACTCGTTCGAATGATGATTGTTCTACTAAAGGTGAAATGAACTCCAAAGGTATTGTTTTCTGTTAGTTTATTTGATGATGCAATCATGAAAATTGAGGTTTATTAATATTTTTAACCTTCATAAAATTTACGCAGACGGTGTGAATATTGCTAAAGACACAGAAATTCTGGTCCAGGAAGAAAGCGAGCTCTCGGATGCTTCTTCTGAGACAAGTGACCCTTCAATTACTAGAGATGACAAAAATGTTGACATACCTGAAGTATATGGTGAAAAACAATATCCCAAATGCTTGAAACAGGTAGAGTGATGCTGCTTGCTGATATATTTGCCTTTGCTGTGATTTCTATTATCATGTCTCTGTATATACTATATATCTTACGTCTCATCGATCTGGTTTTCTTTTTTATATCTCTAGGATTCATCTGAAGAGGATCAACAGCCGTTTTCTCTGTTAGAATCTCCATCAACTTCAAAAGTTGATGGTCTAGAGAGTGTTAATGATACACAAGAGCGGCCAAGTCCCGTATCTGTTCTTGACCCAATATTAACCGAGGATGTTTCCAGCCCGGCCAGCATCAGATCACGTTCTGGTAGGCATATGAGAAAACCCTTTTTTTTTTCAACTTCGTTATGCCACATTCCATCTAATGCCGTTCCTTTATATGAATTTCCAGGTGAAACATCCCTACAGCCAATAAGAATTCGATTCGAAGAACATGGATCTATACCCACAAATCAAAGTAATCATATCAAAACTTGTATGGATGACAAGGAACTGATATTTGAGCACGTAAATGCCATGATGCAACCCTCAACTTTCAACTGGGAGGAACTCTACATCAGGTCCCTTTCTACCGAACTTCTTCTTGATCCGTTGTTGCTTGACGAGGTAGAATACTTTCCAAGCCAGCTTTGCCCCAACCAAAAACTGCTCTTTGATTGCATTAATGAAGTTCTCATGGAGGTTTGCGAGTACTATTTCGGTTCACTTGGTTTGTCATTTGTTAAACCTAATATCCGTCCGATCCCTAACGCGAAGAACACCATTGAAGAGGTCTGGCAAGGAGTTTATTGGCATTTGCTCCCACTGCCACACCCTCGGACTTTGGACCAGATAGTCAGAAAAGACATAGCTAAGACAGAAACATGGATGGACCTTAGACTCGACACGGATTGTATTGGTCTTGAGATGGGCGACGCCATCCTTGAAGATTTAGTGGAAGACACCATAACTAGCTGCATGTATGAAACTCTTGAAGTTGAATTTGATGTTGAAGAACTACATGACTGACACCAACTCCTAAAAGACAAATGACCGAGTTCCGTTCACTGAAAGCAAGCTAATAAAGCCCTTCCCTCCGCATGGAAAGGATGGCCGGTGACACCCGACAAACAAGAGGGTTTCATTTAACTCCCCCTAAAACTGTTTTATCCTATGATCCAATGGCTTTCCTGTAACAATGCCATCAATTAACCATTAACCAGGAGATCATTGAAGCAGCTAGCGACCGCAGAGCCCAAAGAGATCCTTTCTGCAACTGCTCACAAGAATCAGCAAGAAATACCTGATTTCAGAGGCATTTCTCAGCTTAGTTGTATGATCGATGGAAAGCCATTGTCTCTCACTGTAGAATTTATAGGGATTGGTGTGTGTTTGTGTGTTTTAGTTTGATTGATTTCATTCGTTCTTGGGCTTGTTTAACTGGCGTGTTCTTGTTGTATTTGTGTGTGCTTTGGTATTTAGAGTTGAGTGCTTATGGCTTATTTGATAATGGGGTAGGATTTCATATGCCTGTATGAGTATGTATGACTGTATATGTAAAAGCTATGCTCGCTGAAGATAATAATAACACTGAAGTTCACTCATTTAATTCATTGCAGTCATCTTAATTTTCCAAAAAAAAAAATCATTAATACATTGTTCAAAAATCCAAAAAAGTTGAAAAAGAGCCCTCAAAACCCAAAAATTTTTGCCCTATTTCTATCACTCACAAATACATTAAACTAGTTTCTGTAAAACCAAGTGTTCAAATCCATGAAAGTCATTCAAGATTTGAGAGAAGGGTTTTAAAGCTAATAAGAGAGAATATGAATGTTAAAATATGGGATAAATCACAAAACTTTCTTTCATTCATCTTTTCTGGGTAAAAAGGAATTTGGATTGTGCAGCAAGCAAGCTTTTTCATTGGCTCTTTGATTTTTGAATCTTGACACAAGGGAGAACACCCAAGAAGTGGGCGATTTTCGGATCCCATTCTCGCTGCTGTGCGCGGCAAAACATCAGGAATGTGTTGGCAAAATACGAATTGAAGCCCATGAAGACATGCCATAGTGCATGACCCTGAGGGTTGAAGTACCATTGAGATATCTGCTTGCAGAATACCCGGTCCGAAAGGCCACATATACTTCCCAGGAGCAAAGTTGCAATATATAGCTTTGCAAGTCGTTTTGCAGTGGCATCTTTCGTGTAGATGTAGTATTTGTACATTCGAGGGATGCAGAGAAGGCAAAGAATGACATAATGCACCTTGAAGCCAATTCCGAAACGTAAGAGAGTGTGGACTACTGCATATCCAACCCCATAAATGAACAGAAAAGTAGGCATTGTACTCCGATAGTGCCAATCTGGCGAGTAGAGTATGTAAAAATATAGAAGCATTTCCCACACCATTGGAGTTTCATCACCCTGCTGTTGCCTGAAAATAATTCGGAAAATTCACACTACAAATCAACTTGGTAAACAAGAAAGGATTACAATTTTTTAAATTTGAATGAGCAATGTTAACCAAGTTCATTTCCCACCCCAAGTTAAGAATAATCAAATAAACCCTAAATTTAGCCATTGAAGCAAACCAATACAAGGAAAAATAATCTTCCAATCAGACATTCAGAAACAATATTTTCTAATATTATGTTTCGGTTGGAGAGACGTTTATCTAATGTCAGAAGCATTTGGGGGAGCGAAGTACTTACAAGCGTTGCAGTGTGGAGTGGTATATCATGCTCCCAATGGAGAGTATCATGTTAGATATGTGAAGGACGCTAAATCTCTTCTCAAATCGTTGTCTTATGGCATTTATCAGCCCGATGAGCGCCAGAAGAATGCCTGGGGCATTGGATATAGTGTTGAAAAACTCCGCAATGTAAGATGAGTGAACATAGTTTTTCTCACACCTGTCCGTGGATGTGACAGGACCCCAGAAGCTTGAAAATCCATCTTCCATTCTAAACTAAAAAAGTATAATAGTTCAGCTGATGCTTTTACTTAAGTGCTGAAACTGTCATAAAGCCTGCATTATGTGCCATAAAGAACTGAGATTATAACAAATTAAGCAAAATGTATCATGTTTAGTTGACTAAAATATTCTTTTACTAGGAAGACCCCAATAAACAAATGTCACAACACGTTAAGACTATGGCATATGTACACTGATTCAGATTAGACTATGACATATGTACACTGATTCAGATATGCACATAAAGCTACCCTTCTACTAGTAGGCCAAATGACCAAGAGCCACTAGGAATAGAAAAAAGAATCAAAGCAATTTTTAACGTTCGGTTTCAAGAGAGCAAAGTGATCTGACACAGTCAGACAACTCTCAATATGAGGTAAGTTTTTTTTAACATCAGCTTCTGCCGAATTCTGAACTAAGGAACTTGTGTTCTACACAAGCTGTGCTGAAGGTTCCCTGCACCTATCTGGCAAAATAAAGTTATTATTGCATTTCAACCCCCTTTCAACTTAATGGGAAGATCATTTTGACTTAAAGAAATCGCCAAAACAGACTGAACGCCCGCCTGCATGGACCTAGAGAAAAGGTAAAAATAAAAATACAACCCCGGGATTACCACATAGAATGTTATTGAAAATCATCCCACTTCAAGAAAACCAGATCCTATAAGCCTGCAATGACACCATCTTATCGAATTCCAATAACCTTTTGATAATACAGAAGCAATTGCAAATGACATCTCACTTTAGCCCAAGTATCCCAACACCGAGGTCGAGCTACTAGTTAGTATCACAGCTACCTATGTGAATCTATCTATTCCGAAATTTAAATAACAGAAGGCACTAAAACCTCTACCGAATAAGGGGGAAAAAAGTACCTCACTGCAACTAGTAAATCCAATTAATCGCCGAAATCTCGTTTTCATCACCCTGAAACATACATTAAGCCTATTTCGCCTAACGAATCTGACCCAAGCAATCTTCTTAAAAATCCAGCCGTTCAAGATTCTATTCTATCTTTAACCAAAACATTCAGCCCAAGTTCAAAAACAGCCTTAGTATATTGACTATCTCAAAGCAGGTCCCCCACATCGAAACTAATCCCATGAATGATACCCTATAATTATAGCAATCAAATCTATCTTTATACACCGTAGTATTACTAATGAATCATATTTCTATATATTTTATTTTTCCAACATTAAAAAAAAGTCAAACTTCAGAGTCAAATTAATATAAAAAAATCACAATTTGAAGGAAAGAAAATATATTTCAGCTACCCATAAAATCAAAATGAACTAACCCTCCAAAACCTAACCCTTAGAAACAACATCCTTCAGAAATTTGACCTTACCCATTAAAACCCATTCCTCAAAAAATAAAACAAAAGCCTTCCTTGATAACAAAATTTCCCACATAGTTCACCAAATATATTGTAAAACAGAATAGTGAAATTGATACTAACCCTTTGGAATGGAAACAAGAAAGATCTGCTGTTGGGAAGAAAACAATCTTAAGCTGCTTTCGAGATCAAAAGAAAAGATTCGTTAAAGGAATCTAACGGTGGAATGAAGGAAGTAGGGGGTGGCGCGTAGCGCGGGGAGGAATATTATTTGCGGGAAAGCCACATTCATTGGATTATATAATTGATGGATGTCTCGGGTAATTTTAAGGGACGACAGTCTAATTTAATAATAAAATTTATGAAAATAAATGTAATTAAAATATAAAAGCAAAGCTTCCATTTTTCTTGCTGGGATAATATATTTTTGGGTAAATTATGCATTTAGTATTAAAATTATCATTTTTTATCTATTTTTAATGTTTAAACTTGTCAATCTTAACTAAAATATTTCGGTTTCCAGATATTCAATTCGTGAACTTCGGAATAAGTTCCGAGAAAATAGAGATCCAAATCAATATGTCGAGGCGAAACGACCCATGAAATTTGAGACCAAACGTCCACCACCTATAACAAATGACAGCTATATGCAATGACGATCAACGGTGATATCCGATCATCTTCTATTTTCATTTTACATTTTAAATCGTTTTTATATTAAATAATATAAAAAGATGCCGTCATATAAAAATAATAATAAAATAATTCATAATAATAAAAAAATGAGTAATTCGAAAGTTCGGTGAGTAAATTAAAAGAATTATACGGTGAGTAAAATAGGTAAAAGTGGTCAAAATACTTCTCCAGAGATATAACCATCTCATTTAATGGAGTCGTTGCTAATGGACGAAACTTTGCAAACCCCACCCGTTGTGGTCAAAGGAATATCCTTGTAACAGGCCACTAGATCCGCATCGCTGCGCATATACACTTGAAGAGTCTCCCAGACCTTCTTCTTCGGGTTTAACACATCGTCCAGCTCACCCGTGAAACCTGGAAAGGTAACTCGCTCTCCGACCGTGGCCGACTTTGGTGGTTCGACCAATTCCACCTGATAAAACATCAGTGAAACTTAGATTTGTAATTCCGGTATACATGCCTGCGACGGTGTCTACGTTGCAACCATTAAATCACACGTCACGGGTTGATGCCAATAATCAAAGCTAGTTGCGTACCTTGGTGTGGTCGTCGTTCGAAGCAGCAAGAACCTTTGCATGTGATTTTATGCCGCCCATGGCAGCCGGTTTCAAACTACATAGAACACAAACCAGCCGGTTCTGCTCAATGGAAAATCCAAACAAGATATTACAAGTGGGAAAACCTCGGACGTAGAACAAGCATCTCATCTTCCACAAAAATGATATACCAATAACTTGCATAATTACTAGGCAAAGAACGAATACCTGCATCTCTTCCAAAGGAATATATTTTACGAGTCCAGTAACTACTGTTCGAGGCTGGGCTTCACCCACGTCGATCTCTTCAACATACAAAGAATCAGCATCGGGATGCTTTTGAGCTTTTATCATTTTGCCGACCCGGATGTCGAGTCTCGTAATAGTAATTTCTTGTTCAACATATTGTCATACAGCATAGAAGAGGTACCAAATTTGTGCCCAGGAGGTATTATCTCCCACGGTCTTCTAGCCCTATCGACATCTCCTTTCTCCTCACACAACGAAATTTGTGCTTGAGGCGACAAATTAAGCTGCTTAAATACCTTAAAGTGCGCCCCAACAGAAAACATAGCATGAGAGAACAAGTTAGACGGCTAGCACTACATGTAACAGAACTATTTTCAATCACACCTGCAAAATGTTGGTCCACACAAAGATTACCCCAATGGAAAAAGATGGAATGAAAGGTTCCAGTAGACATGCAAGAATATGCACTAGACCCACTGCAGTTCTCATGACAGTTGAACAAGAAGGTTGGTCTTCTTTGTAAAGCTTCCAAAATTGGCTTTCGTGAATGGAAATAATCAGCAAAACACATCAGAGGAAGTACAATAGCCAGAAAAAACAACTCAACAAATTGATTTCTAGAACTACAAGTTTCTTCAACTTACTTGAAGATATGCATTTCCTTCACTTGAGAGGCTCATTGCAGTTCTTACTCCTTGCTTTAGTTTCACCTGCAGGATGTTCCAAACATTTGTAAAAGCAGCTACGACAACATGAAGATGCGGAGGGTGGCAGGTTCCATTTCAATGTAATGAAAAACTTCAAGACCAGTCACCTTCTCCATGGCTTCTATATATTGCTCCAAGTGTTTACCAACTCTCTCACTCAAAGCCTTTGTCAAGGGTTGTGACTCGGCATTTGGAGCTTCAGGAGTTATGGAATCATATCCTTGACCAATAGACAGCAACCATTAGTTGAATCCACTTGGCATAGAATTAATTATGAGCAGACAAAAAATGTTTGCTAAATATATATACATTTCCCAAAACAAATGAAAAGTTAAAAAAATGGTGGGGTTGAAGCAAAACAGAACAGAAACAAATCATGTCAATTATGAACTAAAATTCCAGACCCTATCACAGGCAACACGATTCTTTCCCCAACAACTCGAATATATCATTACCAACAAATCTCAAACTCCCAACACAAGAACAATATCCAACTTCTTATAAAAACAAAAGGATTCCAGTAAACCAGATGACTAACCAGGAGGTTTTGCAATAAAGCTCAAAACTCTATTGATGAAGTTGCCCAATTTACTAAGCAATTCGTTGTTCAGTTTTGCTTGCAAGTCGTCCCATGTAAACAAGGTATCAGAAACCTAGTTTTCCAAAACAAAATCACTGAACAAAATGGTCATAAATGATGTCAATGAACACTGAACAGGGATACCTCAGGTCTATTGGTTAATCAGTAATATCTCCAAACTTCTACAGGTATTTTCGTATCCTTCACGTCATTGCCAAAAACTCCTACACCTTTACTCTTGGAAAATTTCCCTACAGAAACCAAGCAAACAAAAGTACTTGCCAGGCTATTAAGATGGAGAATTTATGACTTAACTTATCTAGCATGCACTAATCCAACTCAAATCAATTAATTTCTCCACTGTGTATGGCCCAAATCAATCACATGGGCACTTACCAGCTTCATAATTTAAATACTCTGTAACACTGATGCTCTTCATCAGTGTCCAGTTTTCACCACTACCAAGAAGAGTACATAGAAACATTACCTGAAATAGAAATATATTACATTTAAAACTCACGGGAGAAAACAACTCCATTATTATTATTATTTTTAAAAGATAAAATACATTTCTTTCACTGCTTTCCCTATTAGCCAAGGCAATTTGACCATGATACCTACAGTATGAAATGGTATATTGTCTTTTCCCATGAACTGATACAGCTCCATATTTTCAGGATTTTTCCACTATTTCTCCCGATCAGAAGTGTAGCATGAAGTAATTGAGACATATCCAATAGGTGCATCAAACCAGACATAGAAAAGCTATCACCAGAAGGTTTTGAATGTAGACTGAAAATAGAATATTAATGAAAATATCGGCTACAGTGCCATCATTTATTGAAACCTTATCTTATTCTTACCTTGTCCTTAAAATTCTCATGTGGTACAGGAACTCCCCACTTCAAATCTCTTGTAATACTCCGTGCTTTAAGTCCTTCCGTGAGCCATGCTTGTGTCGTGTAAATAGCATTCTGGCTCCAAGAACCAGCCACTGACATTTTGTTAATGTACTCAACTAGTTTATCCTTTAGCAAGGGAAGCTCAAGAAATAAGTGCCTTGTGTCACGAATACGTGGAGTGTTTTGGCAGGTCTGTGGTCAAAGTTCAAATATCCTCATCAACAGCAATAATTTCATTCCTTCAATTTTTTTTTCTTATTGAAACTTCACCTTTACTAAAAAACCAGTAATGCAAAAATAGACGACGACGAAGAAGAAACAATATAGTAGCACTTCAAAATTGATAATGCATTCACCAGCTTCATCAAACAACAATTGGCTTCAGCAACAGGTTACATGCACATCTCCACGACATATAGTATTGCTTCAATGATTTGAAAAGCAATTCTCGATACAAGAGAAAAAGAACTTACAACAACAATCCGAATTATTGATAAGTAAGAGTCAATCTAGTTATTGATTTGCTTGTACCTTACACCTAGGTTCTTTTAGTTCAGTAGGATTCAAAAGCTTCCCACACTTTTCACATTGATCTCCACGAGCAGAATCGTAGTTACACCCTCCATCTGGACAGGTGCCTTCCACAAGCCGATCAGCCAGGAACCGTTGGCAAGTGTCACAAAAGAGTCAGACACCAAGAGGAATTTGAGTCACCCAAAAAAAATATGAACTAAAACAGAATATTTAGCATGGTAATGAGCTTTGGTCAAATTGTAGAAACTTTTTTAATCTGCTTTATGCTCCCCCACACAACCCCAGCAAAAATGCAATAATTGTGCAAACAATTTTACTTTTTTTTTATAACAGGGCAGATAAATTTACTTTTACATAAAGCAAACATGGGAATTAATTAACACTGACTTTCAAATCTTCAACATTTTCCTCCAATTTTAGTATCAACCTAAGAACAAAGGTCAATTGAGCATATGAACTCTAACACGAAATATAGCCTACAATTTTCATAATATTTAATTTAAATTATTTTTTTATTAATATAAAGAGATTATAAGGTAGTATTTATTAAGATTTTTTTCAATAAATGGATAATAAACACGCACACACTTTAAAACTCGAGATTTCATAAAAAAAAATAATACTTCATTCAACAATTAGAATTGCTTAATGGATTATAATTTTTTTTAGGGTAAACTACACATTTAATATCTAGACTATAAGTTTTATCTGTTTTAGTACTTAAACTTTCAATTTTTAAAACCATAACCAACGCTTAGTTTTTGTTTCATTTTAGTACCCGCTTTTAATACCTAAACTATCGATTTTTGTCAATTTTTTCAAAATTTAACTTTAAATTTTGAACATGGTTTTTAAAATGAAATAAAAACTAAACTTTAGGTATGATTTTAGAAAAAATGAAAGTTTATATATTAAAACGAATAAAAACTAATAATTTAAATACTAAATACATAGTTTACCCAAAATAGTATCATATTAGAGAAAGTATCTCTCATGGAGGTTGGTATGTGTGGTGGGCTAACAACAGCTTTTGGGTTGTTGAATGGCAAATTTGTCATTTCAACCATACCAACTACTCTCCACTCAGCTTTCAAATAGCCCAATTTCCCAACCATTCTCTGCTTCACATCTCTCATTTGACCCCCAAAACCCCTGCACTTGTGAGTTCCCTTTCTTTTTCATGTTTTCTTGGAATATTTTCATGGCACTTATGTTGTATATTTGCTCCATGAATATGGGAAGATTCTATGGCTGTTAGATTCTAGAATATGGAACTTGTAGCATTAGTTTATCATTTATGTTTCAGCTGATCTGATTTCTTACATATGATTTATGTGAATTCTTCATTTTTTTTTAATCTTTTCTGTGTTGTTTTTCAGAATTGAAACTTGGGTTCATCTCTGAATTATCTGTTTTTTTTTCGTTCGGGTTGAGGTTTGGGTTCGATGTTTCTTTCTTCAAAAAATCTGGGTTTTGATTTTTAATTATTGGATTTCACTTTTGCAGGTGTCGCTGACACTGAGATTCCCAGATCCAATTAAAAATGAAGGTGATTGAAAAGATCCAGTCTTCGCAACAGGACCAAGGGAAAGTGGTATTTTCCTTTGAGTTCTTCCCTCCAAAGACTGAGGAAGGAGTGGACAACCTGTTTGAAAGGATGGATCGAATGGTGGCTCATAATCCATCCTTTTGCGACATCACGTGGGGTGCCGGTGGTTCCACGGCGGATCTCACTTTGGACATTGCTAACAAGATGCAAAACATCATATGTGTCGAAACAATGATGCATCTCACTTGCACCAACATGCCTGTCGAGAAGATTGATCATGCTCTTGAGACCATAAAGTCCAATGGCATTCAGAATGTTCTCGCCCTTCGAGGCGATCCTCCTCATGGCCAGGACAAGTTTGTCCAGGTCGAAGGCGGCTTCGCCTGTGCCCTTGATCTGGTAAACACCATTGTTCTTTCTTCATTTACTTTGCTTCTTTTTTTTCCCCATGAATATGTTGCTAAGTTTTATTGCAATTTTTTAGGTTAAACATATTAGAGCTAAATATGGTGACTACTTTGGCATAACAGTTGCCGGTTATCCAGGTGCTTTTGATCTTCTTTTAGTTGTCTGGTGCAAATAGGCTTGTTCCTTTTTGTTGGTTGTGATTACTAATGGTGTTCTTTTTCCTTTTTTTTTTGCTCAGAGGCTCATCCCGATGCTATAGGAGATAACGGTGTAGCGACACCAGAAGCTTATCAGAACGATCTTGCTTACCTGAAGAGAAAGGTTTTTACTTTTAACTCATTGATTAATTGGAAAGTTTTGTTTTAATTTTTAATGTTTCCATTTCCTCGAATTAGTTAGTTGTCGTGCTAAAACCTCCGTAATCCGTAGGTTGATGCAGGAGCTGATCTGATTGTTACTCAACTGTTTTATGATACCGATATCTTTCTCAAATTTGTCAATGATTGTCGCCAAATTGGAATTAATTGTCCTATCGTGCCTGGCATTATGCCTATTAATAACTACAAGGGTTTCTTACGAATGACTGGCTTTTGCAAAACTAAGGTATGTACTATATCCTGTTCCACTTTTCTAAAATAGTTTTTTCGAATAATTCGGTATGCAGTGGTGATCTCATTGAGGTATATCCGTGCTTATAGAAAGAATAACACAAGCATTTCCTTGGTCCCTAGTATGTTTTTTTACTGGAGATTGAATATATTCATTATGGTTGCTCAGAAGAGTGGATATGAAGCGCTATTTGGTGGTTATTTCCTTTAATAGTTTTTGATTGAAACATCTACTTTTAATGGCTTATTGTAGATACCAGATGAGATTAGTGCTGCCTTAGAGCCTATCAAAGACAACGATGAAGCTGTCAAAGCCTACGGGATTCACCTTGGAACAGAAATGTGCCGCAAGATTTTAGCTAATGGGATTAAGACGTTGCACCTTTACACCTTAAACATGGAGAAATCTGCATTAGCTATCCTAATGGTTGTTTCTTATTATCCTATATTTCATCATTACTTTTGCGTGTTAAAGATGTTATTGTTGAATATCATTTGACTTCTTGAACTTTATGTTTTGTTCACTTATTTTAGAGAAGAATATCAAACTAATTGGTTTCAGTTCTTACATTCTCATATATTACTCTAAAATAACTATATATCAGTTGATATAAAGAAGGAAATTA